ATTTTAATTTCGATTTATTAAATAAATCTTTTTGATGTTGTTACACAGAGTTAAGTAAATTGTGTACTTAGGTTCAAGTGTCTTTGTGCATATTAGTTTACTTCAGCTAACAAATATTTAAATCACTTGATGGGGGCTTTTAAGGAATGCCAGGAGAGGAGAATAGTCGAAGGGGTTAACTGTGTATCGAGATAATATCACAGCAGTTTCTCACCAGGTTCACCCACACCCTCAAAGATATCAGATTTACCTACACAGCGGCTAGTGGGGAACAGAGCACAGCCAGTCAAAGCACTGAGGACCCTCCCACACAGACAAATCGCAGAAGCGGATAAAGGCACCCACTGAGCAAAAACAGTAAAGATCAGCCAAGCTGACTGAACAAAGAGACAGGGAAGCCCATAGTGGGGAGCACAAAGTCACTACCCTCCTCGAAGCACGCCAACTGGACAGAGGCATGGACCCGAGTAGAAGCACCTTACAGTAGATTACAGATAGAGGAGATCGACGAAGAAACGGGAAACACCTACTGGAGATTTAAAACGCCCACAACATACGAGCAGGGCCACTGGCAAACATCCCAAGGCAAGCGAGGCAGACGAAAGAACTCCCAATACTAAAGAAGACACAGTGAAAACCAGTCACCAATGAAAAACTGCCCAAGCCGCCATGACAGCTGACCAAGCCCGCCCACCAGCCCGGAGAAACCTCACAGCCCACAACCAGATGACACGATGTCCACCGCCAAAGCCACTCCCACCTCACCCGATCCAGGCCGTCCCAGTTTAGGGCAGATCGTGATCCCTTCCCTCACCCTGACAGCAGCAGCAAACCTCAGGCGTAATATGATCGCTGCACAGAAACGTCAATAACTGGAAAACGAATTCCAGACACTAAAACACCGACCTCGATATAACCACTAGGAGCCGGTTGAAAGAGGCACGAATTTTTTTTTTTTCCAACATCAAGATCAAGTCAAAAATAGACCACGAAAAATATGCAACGAAGGCACCGAAAGCAGCCTAACAGAGTTGATGATCATTATACAAGGCATTAGAAATTAGCACATATACGATCTTTACATCTCCCCTCAACAATTCGATGAGGTGAGGTACTGGGGGAAGAAAGAGGGAAAGAGAAGAAAAAGAAGGAAGAGGAGGAGAATTAAGAGTAATACCCCTTGAGGGAGTAAATAATTATTTAGTACTAATTTGTTTGATTTTACTCATTTACATTAAGTAAAGATTTAAAATGCCATATTTTAATTTATAACACTATACTAAAATTATATTTTCCTTTAATAAAATAACTTAATGTCACAATAAATTGTCAATTAAATACGACATATTTAAGACAATAAGTCATGCTTTCTCCATATTGATACAACGGAGCCGAGGAACTAGAGGACGTCCTTACAGAACTGTTCGCTGATCAGTTAAAATAACCCCCAAAAAATGACTCTTCCTACGGATTCCTGGTAGTTTGCTATCCACAGAACAAGATACTTAATACTTGATTTAGAAGTGATAGATCAAAAGTGCATTATTTGTACGCAAATAATTTACAACCCTGCTGAAAGTGTGAACAGTCTGGTCTAATTCATTGCTGCCGTCTTGATAATTACATAACATCGCGCATTGAATTAACGCCAAAAGAGAGTAAGTATGAAAAGCTTCTTTCTGTATCCTGATTATATTATATCTTTGCCAGGTTGTTTTTAGCGTGCACATATAATCCGCTAGTACCTTATCACCGCGTGTAGTTGGTGGATCACCAATTGCTTGCAGATGCTGATTGAACAGTTTGACTGAAGCTCCCCCTCTGCCCATTTCTAATGGTTAGAACTTAGATCAGACTCAATGGACTTTATGTTGGCGACCCATACAGTCAGTTAAGATCTATATCCAGAGCATATTGGTAACTTTAAAAAAAAAATCATCTTTATTAACCAATAAAGTGGAGCAGCCAGCTGGCCGAATAGATTACTCAATACTCATAATGCATTTCATTATTAATATTAGAATGCAGCAGACCCATGGTGAATCATGGTCAGATCCTTACATAAGGTTATAATTTTTTTTTTTGATTCTTTACAGTCCACGTTAGCTGCACTTTTCCTGGGGCCCTAAATCCTCAGGCTCAGAGCCCCACCCCCCCCCCCCCCCACCCTTTTCCCCTCAGTGATAAAAATTTACATTAATAATTGGCAGTTTATATTAAATAGACTTCATTAGACAGTTTTGTCGTCCAGTCTCAGTTATTCATAAAATTAAAGCTCATCTCAGAAAGCTATTTATAAGGAGAAAGGTTAGTCCCTGACTGTTTAAATCCATTTATAACTAAAATTCTCGTATACATTTGATATAGCATAGCCTTCAAAACTAGTGGCAATATGGCTTATAGAGCTGTAGACAATTATCATCCAAGGCACTTAATTCCATCCCATTCAGCACACTGGCCAGTCTGGGAAGTGTGTCATCATTGGGACAGTAAATAGGAACACAATCAATTGATATTGATTATGATACCAATAAAACCAACACAGCTGGAGGTTCTTCTTTTATTTCACCCCATCTCAGCGGCTCTGAGAATTCCTGGGAAAGTCCAGTATTAAAGGAGTGGTAGCATGTGAAAATGAACAGACTAACCCAACCCAAACCCACCCCCATAATATTGGACGATCCCTGGTATTCCCTACGAAACCTCAAATTCCATGAGATGGGGTGAAATAACAGAAAAAAACCAGCAGGATGCCTTTTAAAAATCTGTCCAACCGTACCTACGATCCTTACCTGTACGTCAATTCTAAGTTGAAATACCAAAGTTTTTGTGGAAAAAGGGTATTTAAAAATAAATAAAAATAAAGGCAAGTTTAAACTGGCATCTCAGAAATAAGTCTTTGAGAAGTATTTAAATAAAACTATCGTGCCTTATCATCAGGTGTAGAACAAAACCACTAGACACTATGGTACCCATTGTATGAGACTGGCTGTTTATTCCAACGGGGGAGCACTGAACAGTTGATTGGTGAAGATTCCATTTTTTTAGAGCCAGCGCTTCTGTAGGACGTCACTTGCTTGATTCTGAACATGTGGTTGAGACAAGGACACTGTACCGTTTACTACACACCGAACATGTGGTTGAGACAAGGACACTGTACCGTTTACTACACACCGAACATGTGGTTGAGACAAGGACACTGTACCGTTTACTACACACCAAACAGGTGAATGCTGAGGCTAGCTGAAGCTGTAACAATAAAAAGGAACGAGCGCCCCTTATTTAAACAGAAGGAGTTCATTATATATTTGAAGGTACCCTTGTAAGCCATGTGACTGTGGTGAACTTCCTGCGACTAGATAAACAATTTATGGAGAGAGACCGTGTGATGTGTATTTCAGTGGAATAAGTTTAGTTTTTGTGCTTCATTATGTATTGATTCTGTATTAATGTGAAATATGCCTGGCAATAGGGGGCCGGGTAAGCACAGTCAATAGGAGACTCACTGTCAAATCCAGCTGCTGCGACTCACTGCAGCCCATGGCCGGTGTTCAAAACCGGGTGGTTCCCGGGGTTCACACATCCTCCATGTAACGGGTACCAGAGTTAAAACTCAAGGGTAAATGAAGGAACATCGCTGTAGCTACGGAGTTAGGTGGGGACGGCGGCACAGGTGGAAAGTATCTTATCAGCTGTCCATAGTGATGACAGAGCTTTTATGGTTTATAACCGTGTGCAATGACGCTGGTTCACATCTCCTGACTTTACCTTTTACCTTTTTATGCATGGCAATACATTGTTTATGTCCACATTATTTAAACTCACTCGTCAAACAAAAATCCATATGTGTATTAGAGCAATAACCGATGTGACTCGATGGCATTCCAGTGGAAATGGAACAGTGGAAGACATACCACAGAAGTCATAGAGGCCTGTGGCCTTCTCCTCTGAAAACTACTGACAAGGAGAAACAAAAAGAATGAAACAAGAATCCTGTCATATTTAAGGATTTGGGGTGTAGACGTCTTGAGGTCAGGACCTAATTGGTTAACTCTTTCGGAAAGTCTTTATAGGTTAACTGGTTAATCCGAAGACAGTACACATTTCTGACTCTTGTCTATAACAAGTGGTTGTTACATTAACCTTTTGCAGATCTGACTTATTTCTGTGTAGACTGTTCTTCACCTATCAGGCATTTACCCATAACTGTGGTTTCAGAGGAAACGTCGATCCTGACTATGCTGGCCAGACCCCTATATTTGGAAATCTGTTTCTAGGTTGACCATGAAGAGGGGTAGATAGGTTTTGACCAGATTGTCACCAGAGCTACAGAGTTTATGCTTAGGTTTTGACTAGATCATCACCAGAGCCACAGTTTATGCTTAGGTTTTGACTAGATCATCACCAGAGCTACAGAGTTTATGCTTAGGTTTTGACCAGATCGTCACCAGAGCTACAGAGTTTATGCTTTGTGTGATGCTCTCTGCAAGCGAGTAGAGATTGAACAATATGGTATTAACCTAATTCTCTTGAATTTAATGTTTAGTTATACCTCACATTGTAAGTACAAGAAACCAACAGTCTGCATACAAATAAGCAAGATCTGTAAAACAGATGGACATGCAAAAGTCAGATCCTGGAACAAAGATATACCTCACATTGTAAGTACAAAGAACCAACAGTCGGCATACAAGTAAGCAAGATCTGTAAAACAGATGCACATGCAAAAGTCAGATCCTGGAACAAAGATATACCTCACATTGTAAGTACAAAGAACCAACAGTCAGCATACAAGTAAGCAAGATCTGTAAAACAGATGCACATGCAAAAGTCAGATCCTGGAACAGAGTCTAGAAATGGACGAACAACCAGGTCTTTTCGCCGGGGTTTACAAACACAAACACATTGTAAGTTTATGCTAAAATATAACTTGTTCCCTAGCAATGAATGTCCTCTAGATAAATTGGCTTTTCTTTCCACCTAGGTGTTTATGAATCAAAATGGGAGCAGCAGAATCTGCTCACATTGCCACTACCTTTTTTGACGATGTCAAAGGTGAAGGCTGCGTTCACATTGTCTTTGAAAAGAACTGGAGGATGGCCAGAACTGTCGCTGATGAAGGCATCAAACTGATGCCCGGCGGTCTGTACAGTGAAGCTGCAAAACTCTTCCCCATGCATCAGGTTGGCGATGGCAAGGGGGTAGCTGGGAAGCTTCATGTTGTGGAGAACCTACTTAAGTCGAGGTTTGCTGAAGCAGACCGGGTGTTCTCAATGGACACATACGTAGATCATAAGTTGCAGATGCTTCAGATGCTTAACGATGAGCCTTCTTTTAAGTACACTAAAGAAAATGCAGAAAGTTCTGTTCGCACTGCTCCGTTGATAAAAGCTATTGCTGAGACTTATCCTGAGGTGCTGCAGCGGAGTAAAGTGAATGCCATGCTCAAATCTGATGATCATTTTAATCCAGTTGTTACTTCCCAATCAGAAATGAGCGCAGACAGCAGCGCAAAGCCCATCCCCGCTGAGTGCCCCATGAGCCAGGGGAGACTGCCCAAGAGTAACCAAGGTAACCAGTCTGGAGAGCCACAGCCCACCCCATTTGTGAGCGAGTGCCCAATGAGCAAGGGGGAAGCAGCGAAGATGTCGTCGCCTGATGAAATCAACAAAGATAACATGGTAAAATTGTTTTTCTTTTGCTGCTTAGGGTACTTTTTCTTGTTATCCATGTCTAATTCACAATGGCAGGCCAATTCTAGTGAGAAGCGGCCGGTCGAAAAGTTAGGTACCTGGGATCTTATGCAGGAGACCCGGGTTCGAATTCTCTATAAGGTCATATATTTTTTCTGTCAGGGACAAAAATAAAACCCTAACCTGCACAGTCCGTGGCAACAGCACTAGCTTTGTGGCCCTGAATCCTCAAGCTCAGAGACCCCTTTTCCCCCATCACCACCCAACATCGCAAAGGTGGTAAGTAGAGTCAGATTTGAGCAGTTGGCAAGTTGTTATTGATGAAATTCCTGTTTTTTTTTTCTTAATTTAATTTTTATGCTAATAGTTCCATGCACTATTGAGTATAGTGACTCACAGTATTTCTTTCTTAATGGGTTAAGCTAGTAAAGAAGCTACCACAAAATAATTGGGGCTACGGGACGGTCCATAATGAAGAGGTTTAACTGTTGTTTCATGTTCAGGAAGTCTTGGTAGCGGTATCAGACTCAATGTCATTCAGTTCATGGGCACCAGGGTTTTGTAACAGGATTGCTGCCGGAGCTAGGGAGTCTATGCTTTGTGAGATGCTCTCCGCAGATGACTGCCTTCTCTGTGAAGGCATGTAAGGTAACAACCTGATATCGGTCAGCTGATGCTCTTGCTGCATGCTGACCTACATTGTACTGCGGGCTGCTTTATTACCGAAGGGGGCTTCAAAAGGAACCTTAAGCGAAAGGCTCTAATATCTCGTATAAGAAGGCGTGCGAGGCAGGAGGGCTGACAAGAGACCATGTGTTGTTGTTTTTTTTGTGTGTAGGGCAGGCTGTGATGAGAGCGGTGTTCTGTAAAGGACCTGCTTTATGATGGTAATGATGATATTCACATAAATTTGAGAGCTGGGTTCTTGGTCCATCTGGGTACAGATTTGACGTCATAAGCCCATGGTAACTCTTGTATCCGCTCCCTCCCCAATTAAGATATTTTTTTTCAAATCTGTTCATCTACTTGTCTTGTCTTTTCCCTAAGTCTCGAATGGTGCCTAGAGCCCGTAGATACTTTCTCTTTAGGTACAGGTTTTTAATATCTTTCATTTCACCCGCTACTTTGTCCCACAGGCGAAAGATCACCTCCACCGTGTGCCGCTGCAGTATTTCCCTCCCCCCCCCCCCCCCCCCCACCAAAAAGGGACCCTTGTAGAAACACGGGGAATATCATATATTCTTCTTCTGATTTCATCTGAAGATGTAAATGCTTCATACCCGTTTCCCAGTGATTGCCGTATCTGAGCCTTTTGGTCACCACATTCATCTTCTGTTTTCTGGGTTATCTTTCCTGCTTATTTCACTGGACATTGCAGTCTCATTGTTGTGGGGTCATGTTTGTTTCCTAGTTCCCCGATGGTGCCCATAATACTGTGTCAGTCCTCAAGATTCCAATTTCTTTAAAAAAAAAATCAAAAAACTCAACCACGTTTAATCTGTATTTAAATCACGTTTAAAAAGCTGCTATATTTGTGGTCTTGTTTATTTGCGCCACTTTCGTGGCTAAAGTTCTGGTATTTGCGCTGTCTCTGGGCTTAATGGGAGTCCTCGTGGCGGAGCGGCTAGATGCTCGCCCCGGATTGGAAGGTCATGGGTTCGCTCCCAGGAGGAGCCGGACTTCTTTAAAAAATGACCTTGGGTGCAGTCGCGGGTAGTAGAGGCGGCCAGCATGATGCTGACCTCACCACCCATCTTGTTCAGATTGGTCTATAGAAATATAGGTCTAGCCCTATATGCCCTATTCGCCTAAAGGCATGGAAAAGTCCTTTATCTTTACTGGGCTTAATGCTTCTTTAGTCCACGTCAGACATTGAGAGAAGGCAGGGGAAGAACACGAGCATTCCCCAACATCCAAGAAGCCCTCTATAAATGCAGAGCCAATAGATGGAGCTCTGATACTGGGCTCACCCAGGGAATCATGTCCTATAAGATTATATGATGTCCTGGTAATTATTGTAGTTTTGACTTAGAAAATGTATCCAGTGTTTTTTTTTTTTTTTTATTAGATGCCGCCACCAAATCAGAGACCAGCTCCCGATCAGCCTTTTCCCCTGTCAACACATAGAATAGAATCCACTATTCCAAAGGCAGGCACTAATGAGACATGGGTCTACCCATCTCAGCAGATGTTCTGGAATGCCATGCTGAGAAAAGGTTAGTGTTTCTCTTGTTTCAGCTGAATGTATAGCATTTTTACTTTAAACTGGATGTTTCTTAGAACCAGACAGGATGATTTTCAAATGACCCAGTACATTTTTCAAACCATATATTGTTAAAGAACCTTCTAGGAAGAATAACATAACCTTTCCAGAAGAATTAGATAACTTTTACGGAACTTCTCAAAAAGTTCTAGCATATCTGTCGATTTTCTGCTTGTTTTAAAGGAAAAATTGTGTCGCATTTAAAATGAAAGTTGTCCCGTTTGGTTTGAACGTCACAGGTGGTTTGAAAATCATCCAGCTTGGTTAGGCAGATATCGTTGGTAGTTTGAAAAGTGGCCTGTGATTATGTGTTCAGTCTCTGTCAAAGCTCTAATTATTTTAAATTTGGGGGGGGGGGGGGGTGTCTCTCTGATTGACCAAACCTTAAATGCCCTAGGATATTTTCTGGGGTTAAAGGTGGTCTGGCATTATATTGACCACTTGATCCTTATAATACCAATTGGTCTATATCTTCTTCTTCTTCTTTGCGTTCGGTTTCGTATGCTCAGATCAGACCATCAGGTGGATTGCCTCTGTAAACTCACATGTCAGTAGCAGGTCCTTCATGAATTGGTCTATATAAATGGGGGTCTAGGGCTGTATACAGTCAGTATTTGGCTAATGGAGTTAATTTTCAGTTTTTCAGGCTTAGTTAATGATTTGGATTCAGCTAATGAATGTTTTAATGGTGGACAGCCTAACCTAGTGCAGCCGCATCGTGAGCTGTCATTTCATGAGAAATTGGGAGGGGGAGGGGTGGGGTCACATTTCGGCTGATAAAGTTTTTAGCTGACAGATGTGATTCTGGACAAATCATCTTCGTTAGCTGAAGTATCACCGTTGATTATCGTCTCAGGGCATGGTGAAGGACAGACTACCTTTGCTATATATTCATACTCATTGAATCGTGGAATCTGTCAGTTTAATGCTCTATTGTCATGGCTTCAGGAAAAATAAGAAGTTTTTAGGTTTGAACAGCCGATCAACATCATGGCACACAGGTAGTAACCCAAACTTCTCTGTTCTTCTTCTAACTCAAGTCTGAGTCCAAAGAAGCTTAGCACAGTGCACAGGCTCTGTAGCACCGGCGAGGGTCCTAAAATACTTTGGGTATTTTTTTAACTCTAAATTTTGCCCGGGCAGTGCCGTTAGACTATTCTTTTCAATTTCCAACTGCCAAGGGATTTTTTACGTGCGCAACAGTGCACACAAGCGTCCGATCTCACTACCCAGAGGCCAGGGGGAATTACTAGAAGTCCAAGTCCACGTGAAGAAATCCCAGCCCTTACCAGGGATTAAACCCAGAACCTCTATTACTCGGGGCGGACACCATGCCTGGAGACCATGCAGCCTCCCAACAACGAGAAGTGCAGAGATAAAACTGTTTCGATAAATATATGTGTTGGTAGTTGTTTCTTCACAAAGAGTACATGCAGGGACCTACCACACCCTGATGGCATCCCATGCTGTTGGTCGGGGCTATTCAGCTAAGTTTATTCAGCGGCCACAAATTTGAAAGTGGGGATCGTCACTGGCCTGAGCCCCAGCTTAGAAAGATCATTAATACAATACAACTAGCAGTGATCCGTGAGCCATTTGCTAGACCTCCGCGGGCCATCAGTTGAAAAGCCCCGCTAAAGGATAACCTCAAGCAGACAGACAACCTTTGTTTTACACAGGGTTATACCATATCTCTTGATGTGTGAGTTTGATGAACTCGTCACTGCCTGCTGTGTTTTCAGCATCATTGTGATTTTTGTTTGTTGACATTCCCAGGTTGGAGATGGAAGGAGGACGACATGTCCCCGAAGGACATGGAAAACATCATCAACATTCACAATGCCAACAATGAACTTGCCTGGAGGGAGGTTCTGAAATGGGAAGCACTGCATGCAGAGTGAGTTCATTTTTTTTTAATATAGCCTTTGACTTGCAGTTTGATCCTGTTGGCTTTTTGTTTTTGTTTGACACAGAGTTTCAATGCTTTGTTCAAAGATCACTTATGTTGCCGTACACAAAACCTCAGCATACTGATCAGAGCCGTAATTGTGAGTGAGACTGCTGCGGTAGCAAGAATAGGGAGGCTGGTTTGACTGACTGACTTTCTACCCCACTAGGACATCACACAAGCGATAAACACCCGATGACACAAAGTGCCACCATGTGGATGAGGATCGCTGTTGAGAGGTCCCAGAAACCGCGTTCAGACAATTGGCCATATTTATGGCCTGGCTATATTGCTGCCTCTGGCAAAAGCCAGGGTGGGGCTTCAAATAACAAAAAATTTCATCCTAAAAAGGATGAAACTGGATATATTAGAGGCTGGTTTTAATTCTTATGGCACATTTGCTCAAAAATATTGGAGAAAATTTCGAAAATTAAAATTTACAAATTACAAATATAATTCTACCCAGATTAGATGTGGGCTGCCATATTGTGGTGGCTAGACACTCACGTGTGGATCAGAAGGTTGTGGGCTCAGATCTTGATGAAGCCAGAATTTTTCAGAAATGTCCTATGCTCCCAAGTCAACCCAGCCGTAACTGGGGACCAGGTATAATGCTGGTTGGTCTGTAAAATTTAGGTCTAGCCCTATACGCCCAATATGCTGAAGGCGTATATACCATATGGAGTTATAAAATGTTGGGCTGATTTCTTCAACAGCCAAATGGTGTAGATTGAGTTGATAATTACTTCCCTGATCATTGGTACCCATTTGATGAAGCTGCACCAACTCCAGAGCCGTAGGGTTCAGAACTTCTTTTTCTTTGGTGTTCTTTGATAGTTTTAGATATACAGTATACGGCAGCAGTGATAAAAGACACTTGACACATCCAAACACCAGGCAGAGAAAGATGCTGGGTTCTTTGACTCTTCGAATCATCTGTTCACTTTGCACGCTTTGCCTTGGCATCGCTCACCTATTTTCATGTCTCACAACAGTCGTGTCTTCTCTGGCCTGTGGCCTCTCTAACCCCTGTTCTTTACACATGCCCTTTGCTAAGTAGATGTTTATCCTAGGGTGATAAAAATTTAAAAAAAAGTCTGTCATTGCATCCCAGGGTGAAAACAAATGTACCTAAAATATTGTTAACTAAGAGGTTTCCAAGGCCAAGTGGTTTGTTTCATTCTGTGTGTGTAATGGGTTTGTTACACATACTGCATGAGTGCAGTTTAGTAGAGAGATTCCTGGGAATGTCACTGGATCTGCAGAGTTCATGCTTTGTGCAGTTGTCTTGGCAGGCAATTTGCCATTTTGCAGGCAGTGACTGTACCAGAGGGGATACAACCCAGTTCAATGAAGCTGATCTCCTTGATTCGACTGCATTGCCCCGAGAAAGCTAAATCTAGTTACTTCCAGTTGTGACCCAGTCCTGTAAATTCCAGTATATCACCTTGTCTGCAGTAAACTATTCTCAAGTTAAATGCTGTTGGTTCTTGGTGCGTCTGCATAGTGTTTAGGGGGCTGGCTGTTAATATATCAACTAAACTTAGCCATTAGAGACGTTTCCTTGTGTGTCCAAAACCTTTTTCAGAGCTAGGTTGACTTTAAATTTTCCATTAACCCTCAGTGACAAAGGTCACAGGGTCATGGCATGAGTGAGCTGATAGATATTTGTTTTAGGTCTCAGGAAATGTATTCTATTTAATGCTTCACTCTGTTCGGTTTTTGTTTTTTTTATTACTCCTTTTATATATCCTTATATATTTTGGGAGACAAATACTGACATTTTAAAAGATCCGAACATCAAGTAAGGTTGGCTAATAAACAGTATCTTGTCTCGGAAGCTGAAATATGTTGCTTATACCAAGTGCCATGGTGGATTGAAAAAAATAATAATAGCAGAGGGCATTGTACCAGGAAGGAGGGGCAGGGGCCGACCAACACAAAGATGGGCACATATAAAGTACACGAGGCAGGAGAGCTGGTGAAAGGCCGAGTTTCTTTTAGGCAGATCATGATGAGAGCGACGTTCTTCAAAGGACCCACTACATGATGGTGATGGTATTGGGGATTTGTTTTTCAATATAGATAAATAAATTTGTTAACAATTTATTAGTTAACTGTAAAATAATTTTCTTTTGAAGTTTTTTTTTTTTAATCCTACAGATTTATTACCCTTTTCCTGGGGGGGGGGGGGGGGGGGGGTAAAAAGAAAACAGATGAAACTTTAGGCTTAAATCAGTTGCCTGTCTTTGATTCCCTGTGTAAAGCCCGCACTGTTTATTTCTTGTTTTGTGTTTTGTTTTAGCAGTGAATGCACGGAACCGAAACTGAAGAGGTTTGCCGGTTTTGCTTCAAAGTATTCTCCTCGTGCAAGACTTCGATCATGGATGGGGTATGTGTGTTTGTTTTATCATTTGATATTTTTAAAAAATTATTATTATTATTATTTTTCAAGTATTTTAATATTGGGGAAACATTTACATCTATTTTCTATCTAATAAAAAAACGACGATGTTAAAACAGATTAAATGTCCAATTTATGTTAACTCATAATCTTGTGTCGGTTCTGTGGCTAAGTCAATGCGAACGCTTAGTAATGCCAGGTTCAATACCAGCTGGTTTCGACAGTGGTATCAAGAAAGCTGACCGTCCAGAAAGCAATGGCAAACTGCTGGACTTGAATTTGCCTAGAAAAACCACACTACAGCCAGGGGCTGTTGGGGTTGGTTCTGCAATGTCCTGTAAAGGATACACAACTAACCATGATCTTGTCCTGTATGTGATCTGCCTCTTTCCATATTGTGTGACTCACATATGTGATAACAAGTGACATATTATGTCCTGAAACTTTCTTTATATATTGTGTATCTCTTTGCCACAAACTTGTTAAATATTATGTTTCTGGTTTCAGTTACGAGCTTCCATTTGATCGCCATGACTGGATAGTGGACCGTAATGGCAAAGAAGTCCGCTACGTTATCGACTACTATGATGGCGGTAAAGTCGACAAGAACTACGAGTTTGCCTTGCTGGATGTCAGACCAGCTCTCGATTCATTTGAAGCCTTCTGGGACCGAATGAAAGTTGCCGTCTGGCGATGGACAGCAGGTTTAAGTTCTCAGGGCAGTTCGGGACACAACGCAGTTGCCAGAATGGCTAATGCTCACGAGCCTCTGAACTTGAATTTCCAAGCCACCGGCCAGCAGACAGAAAGCCAGAACAAACCATGTTGTCAAAAGGATTCTGGAAATGATAAATAGAAGTTTGCCGCCGAGATGATGGTCAGTGGGTGATGATAATTCACTTGGGACATTGAAGATGGAGGTTTATGGCAAAGTTTAAAGCTTGTGTTGAATGCTGTTTGTAGAAATAATAGACAAATGTTGAATTGAAGTTTATATGGGTTTTGTGAATTCAGGAGGAACATTTTTTTAAGAGCATTTATATTTGTATGAACTCTTTGATTCCTAAACAGTTTGTACTTTAGCTCCTTTGTACCAAGAAGTTGAGCTAAAAAAACCAGAAATATATAGGTCTGAACTGGCTGAACAGGGACACTATGTGATGAAAGTAGCCGGCTATTATTTCAGATCATTATCAGGTAGCAGGTCCTTTGCAGAATGTCCCTCTCATCACAGCCTGCCTGATTGAGACTCTCGCCAGCTCTCTTACCTCGTGTACTGTCCTGCCTGTGAGATGTCACTTATATACTGTGCCCATCTTTGTGCTGGTTGGCCCCTGCGCCTGTTTGTTGTCTTTAATTTTGCTGCTGTTGTTTCCAATCTGCCATGGCACATGATATAGCCGAAACATATTTTTTTGGGCTTGCATAAGTTTCTTGAGATAATATGGAAGCTTCCCCTTGATGTCCACATTCACATGGCCTTAGACTGTGACCTCAACCATTGGAAACCTTTTAGATGTCTCATACAGCCGCACTGAAGAAATATAATGAACATGGAACAGGGAGAAGACCAAGCAAAAGATGGGATGACACCTTCAAGAACGGCCATAGAAAAATGATCAACTTGTACAGTGGATTAGAAAGTACACATGGAAGACTCTTACATTGACCCTCCCCATCAACCCTTGGATGAGGTAGCTAAGGATAAGAAGAAAGATGGATAAAGACTGAGCCTAAGGGAGGGGGGACCTAGGGCTTCACTGTAGGGAAGTCAATGCTGACACTCCTGGAGATTGAACCCTGGATCACTATTGCTTGGTGTGTGGGTGCTAATCACAATGTTGCAACATCATAATGTGTCTTGCTGATAAGTATTGGTGGTTTCCCCCCCCCCCCCCCCCCCCCCCCTCATTCTTTTTATAGTTACTATATTCATATCGTGGCCTATACAACAATGGGAAGACACACATACAACCAGTGGAATTAAAACTATGCCTTTCATGAATATGTCATATATGGGTATTTGTGGGACTGTGTCACAGCCGGAAATGACTACATTTCTATCTGAATTATTAGTGTAACTCCTTTTGCCCCATGGTATGTCTTTTGAACTGGAACTCCTGCAGGTGTAAGCTCAACTATTTTGAATAGATGGCATTAAAGAAATAACAGCTAGATATTAAAAGAGTTTTCTTTACTCAATATGTTCACTGATTCTGTACATAAGTATTTCACCCGGTTGCTTGAAGTATTTCACCTGGTTGCTTGAAGTATTTCACCCGGTTGATTGATGTATTTCACCCGGTTGCTTGAAGTATTTCACCCGGTTGCTTGAAGTAATTCACCCGGTTGCTTGATATATTTCACCCGGTTGCTTGAAGTATTTCACCTGGTTGCTTGATGTATTTCACCGGTTGCTTCAAGTATTTCACCTGGTTGCTTGAAGTATTTCACCCGGTTGATTGATGTATTTCACCGGTTGCTTCAAGTATTTCACCCGGTTGCCTGATTTATTTATCAAACCCAAAGCATCTCCACACAAACAGTTTACATCTCATATAACATTACATCGGGGACTGCTTTGGCGGAGCGCTAGATGCTAGCTCAACTATTTGGAATAGATGGCATTAAAGAAATAACAGCTAGATATTAAATGAGTTTTCTTTACTCAATATGTTCACTGATTCTGTACATAAGTATTTCACCCGGTTGCTTGATGTATTTCACCCGGTTGAATGAAGTATTTCACCCGGTTGCTTGATGTATTTCACCTGGTTGCTTGAAGTATTTCACCCGGTTGCTTGATGTATTTCACCCGGTTGCTTGAAGTATTTCACCTGGTTGCTTGAAGTATTCCACCCGGTTGCTTGATGTATTTCACCGGTTGCTTCAAGTATTTCACCCGGTTGCCTGATTTATTTATCAAACCCAAAGCATCTCCACACACACAGTTTACATCTCATATAACATTACATCAGGGACTGCTTTGGCGGAGCGCTAGATGCTAGCCTGCATGGCCGAAGGTCATGGGTTTGAATCTTTATCGAGTTGTTAGTTTTTTTTTTTTTTTGAACTGCCCATGTTGGTCTGCCCTAAAATGAGTACCCTGTGAGTGTTAATAAGTAACGGCAGCCACCATGACACAGGCCACATCACCCACCGAGTGCTGATTGATCTGTAACATAGTCTAGAAAAAAGCGGTCATGGTACTCGCCGCAAAGTCTCTAAAACGGTGCCAGCACTCACCACTGGGTGTCTAATACAGTAGTATTTAAAAAAATGTGGTGCCGGTACTGGGTACTACCAGGCTTAAATAAAGCATTACTAGTGCTATATGTCCAATACTCATAAGGCTGGGATAAAAGATCGTTGTCCTTTTTAAAATTACATCTAATTATTAGCAAAGTATAACATCCACTAAAATAAAGAAACACATATGGACATTGCAAATCGTGTTAGTTTTAACACTGGTTGTGTTGTTGTTTCTTCTTCTTCTTCCGCCTTTCTATCCCCCAATGGAGCATAGGCCCTCAACCAACTCACGCCAAGTCGTTCTATCCTTCGCCATTACATGGAGCTCTCCCCACGTCCTCCCAATCTTTCTAACCTCATTCTCCAGCTCTCTTCTCCGTGTGTTTTTTGGCCTTCCTTTATTTCTATGCCCCTATGGGTTCCAATGCAAAGACATTCTAGTTATGCTGTTCTCCTGTTTTCTCAGTGTGTGCCCTATCCAACGCCAGCGTCTTTTCCTCACCTCCTGATCCACTGGAGCCTGTTTAGTTCTCTCTCAAAGTTCTACATTAGTTATTCTATAATACCATTTTATTCCCTCTATTCTGCGCAGGCACCAGTTAATGAATGTCTGTGATTTATTAGTAATTGCCTTGGTTGTTCTCCAAGTTTCCGCCCCATACAATAGTACTGATTTGACATTAGAATTAAAAATTTTTAGTTTAGTATTTCTTTTAATTTCTTTTGACCTCCACAAATTCCCTAGTGCTATGAAAGCCCCTCTTGCCTTTTGTATTCTTATTTTAATATCTCTATCAGTTCCTCCATCTTTATCTACATTACTGCCTAAATAGGTGTATGACTCGACGTCTTGGAGTGGGGTGCCATTAAGAGAAACCACATTACTATTTGCCTGATTTATTCTCATTATCTTTGTCTTTCCTTTATGGATTTTCAGACCAAGCTGCTGTGATCTCGCATTAAGTATATTTAATTTATCTTGCATCTGATTCCATGAATGGGACAGAAGAGCAATATCATCAGCGAAGTCCAGATCATCAAGCTGTTTTGTAGGGGTCCACTGAATTCCATTCTTGGTGTTAGCAGTTACTGTTTTCATAGTCCAGTCTATAGCCAGTAAAAATAAGAGAGGCGACAAAAGACATCCCTGTCGCACACCTGTTTTTATTTCAAATGCATCTGTTAGCTTTCCCTCATGAAGAACTCGACATTTCATGTCTTTATATGTTGCCTTTACTAAGTTGATAATTTTCTGTGGGATTCCATAGTGCCCCATCAATTTCCAGAGAGATTCCCTATCTATGCTGTCAAATGCTTTTTCATAGTCTATAAATCCAATGTATTATAATACGTAATGTGGCTATCTGATCAGTACAGGATCTGTTTGATTAATCCAGTTGGCTGACTATATTTACCTACTAATTTTCTTGTGTTACTGTAAAGTTCTCTGAGGTTTCCTTTTGCTGCTGCTGTCTCCGCTTCTTGTGCTAGATCATTTAGATATTTCACTTTATCTGCCCTTATATGCCTCCTAACTTCCTTGTTGGCTTCTGTGTAATTCTCCTGAGCTCTAGCTTTAGCAGCTCTAGTTTTGCTATTGTTTAATTCTGCCTTTTTACTTTTCCTATCTTCAATCATTTTAATGGTTTCTGGTGTTATCCATGCTTTATGTTTCCTTTCTTTCTTGCCAAGAACTTGTACGCAAGATTCATTCCAGATTCCTTTGATCTGATCCCAGCAGACTTCTGTGTTGACATCTTCAGCTAACTGCTGCAACACCTGGTACTTATTAGAGACCGTAACTGAGAACTGTTCCCTAATTTCTTTATCTCTGAGAAAGCCTACATTATGTTGGTTTCTATGATTATAAGATGTTATATATCTTTTTAGTTTCAACTTGATTTTACTTATCACCAGGAAATGGTCAGTAAGTACATCGGCACCTCTGAAAGCCCTAACATCGTAAAGGGATGATCTAAACCTTTTGTTAATACATATGTGGTCAATTTGATTAGTTGTCTTATGGTCTGGTGATTCCCATGTTGCCTTGTGTATTCTTTTATGGGAAAAAATACTTCCACCAATAACATACTGGTTTCCTGCACACAAATTTGTGAACAATTCTCCATTTTCATTCATTACTCCTAGACCATGTCTCCCCATAATTTCTTCATAACCTGTGTTATCTGATCCTATCTTAGCATTCAAGTCACCCATCAAAATTTTTAAGTTGCCCTTTCTTTCATTATTTATAATATTTTGAAGCTGCATGTAAAATTCTTCCTTAACAGATGCATCTTTATCGTTTGTTGGTGCATAACACTGTATTACCGACATGTTCACATTCTGTTTTACTGTTCTAAAAGAAGCTCTTATTATTCTGGGACTCACAGCTTCCCATTCTATTAGTGCCCTGTCTGCTTCTTTTGATAGCATCAGGGCCACACCTTCACTGTGCGGCGAATTTTCCTCTGTGTGTCCTGAGAACAAAATAGTCTCTCCTGAATCAAGAATACTTTTCCCTGTCCCAGTCCATCTAGTTTCACATAACCCCAAAATACTAATTCTATAATGTTTCATTTCCTTTGCTACTTCCATTGTTCT